AATGCTTGGTCTCTGTTTCTTACTCTCTTAGAGAGGGGAGTTAACATTTTTCATGATTTGCAATGAAAAGGAGACAAAGCACCAGCTATTTAAAACATCAGAGGGAAGCTGGATCGCAGCACAGAAGGCATCAGACACGAGAGGACCCTTCAGTCCAGCAGACAAAAACACTGCTGGGCCAGAGGAGGTGAAATGGGACAAAATCCAACTGAAAGGTTTGGCAGAGGGCATGGGAAGAGCCGTGGCTTCTGCGGCATCCCAGCTGCAGCACTTGTGGCATCAAATATTCATGATGCAAATGGATGCAGAGAGCTCCCCACAGGCCCGCCTCTGTGCAGCATCCAATCTGCGAGGGAGCTTCGCTGACAAGGCTGAGGGAAACCCACGGACTGAAATATTTAGGAGTAGCCAGGATGATTCCCTCGTATCCACCCTGCGGAGACTGATTCTGCACTTTGCATGCGCTTACATCCACAGCTGGGCAAGAGCAGCCCCCAGAGCAGCCCTGTAGCAGAGATGGCGATGGGCAGCACACACTGAACCATTCATGGGGCTGGTCTCAGGCAGGGCTGGGTGGTAGCAGGCAGCATCACGAGGCTCTTGCCACTTGCATTTGGGGGCTCTCCCCTCCCCTAAACACCCCATGGGATTTTTTGCTCCTTCCTGTGCAGGGAGCTTGCAGCACAAGCTGGGCTAAAACCAGCTGCTTCAGATTCAAGGCATGGGAGTCTCCTGCCTGTCCCTGCACCTGTGGGCTCCCAGCAGCTGGGATCCACAGGCAAAGCAGGGGCTCAGCACCACCCCTTTGCTCCCTGCCCGGGCTGGGATGCTTTTCGGCATGGAGCATTGATAACATTTGCTTTTCCTCTGCAAACTGTGTCAGGGGGCCTGGATGCCAAGCGCCCAGCTGAGAGGTGCTGTCACTGCCGGGCTGAGAGGGGAACGGCACCTGGCAGGGTGATGAATGCCGCTTTTGGCAGCTCCACTGCTTGCATTTAGGCAAGGCAGGGATCAATAATTAAATAACAGTCACAGGAAAATACCCATCCATTCTTCCTTCCTGAAAGAGATGGGAGGTTGTAAAGTTCATTGTTAATTTTACCAACACCTGGATCTTCTTTTTCTTTTTTTTTTTTCCTTTTTTTTTTTTATTTATTTTTTTTAGAGTTAAAAATATTGCAGAATGAGCCTGTGGAGCAGGTTGCCCCCTGCCCTGCTCCTCACCGTGGAAGGTTTTGCAGCGGAGCCCCCCGAGCCCCGCAGGCCGGCAGCGCAGCTCCCTCTGCTGGCCCTGCCGCACTGCAGCTCCCCCCAGGAATGCTGTAAGGGCTCCTCAGCTGCACCGAGCCCTGCTCTCGGCAGGTATGACACGCTATTTTAAATCGGAGAAGTGAACTGTGCTCGAGAATAAAGAGGGAAGCGAGCCAGGAGGCACCTGAGCAGCTCCGGCAGCGCGGTGCGCAGCAAGCATGGGATGCTCCTTTTGGAGAGGCAAAAGTGGTGCTGCCCTCTATAAGTTATGTTTGTCCTGCAGAAAGTAGTTTCTTCAGATTCTGAATGCAGAGCTTGAGCTGTTGTTCAGGTGTAATTCCACAGGCTATCGGGATTTTATTGGAGCAAAAATACTTAAAAAAATAATAATAATAAAATAAAACAGACCAGGTAGACTCAGCTCTCTATATATCCATGTATATACACATATATAGTGTTATTTAAGAACAGGAAGGTGCTAATGTAACATTTTCAAAACAAGGGAAACCTGCTGCAGAAGTGGTCCAAGTGCGCAGTCAGATCAAATAATTTGAGCAATAAAGGGTGAAGTCAGTGGCAAAAAGTCTTGCTGCGGGAGTAAGCAGTGCCCAGAGCAGAGGTAGCCGATACCATCACCATCCTGGCAGTGCACCCACTTTGGTGCCGTGCTGGGCACCCTCACTGGTGCCATCTCCCACAGATGTTCCTGCTCTGAGTTAAACCAGCCATGCTGCTGAATCAGCAGAAAACCTGGGGCTGTGAAAAAAAAAATCACATTCAAGGACTGTGAAAAAAATTATTAGGGAAACTACTGATATTTTCACAAGCCATGAAACAACAAAGCAAGCCTGGTTTCTGATGGATCCAGGGCCTGTGCATTGATTCAATGGCTGGTGGAGGTGCGCTCCCACAACAATCCTTCCCCTAGGAGGGGCATTAGCATCCTCTGCTTCTTTTATCCAGCTCCCTATTTTTCAGTGACTTTGTAGTGCTTGGATATTGTTCCAGCTTGTATTCTACATCAAGATGAAATGTCTTGAAGGTTCAGAAGGTATGGAGCCAGAATGACAGGTCATGCAAAGTTACATACACACACAAACACCCGCAGTCAGCACTGCAGACATTGCACAAACCACTTCTTAGGAAGAAAGGGAACAACAACAACAACAAAAAGCTGAAAGTTTTATGAATTGTTAGCAGACAGAGAAAATGTTGTTGAATGGGAATAGAATATGAAAGGTCCTTAGGGCAGAAAGAAGGACCTTTGAAGAGCTACTTGAGTAGTACTGTGACGGAGAAAATGCAGCACCTTCGAGTAGGCAATGCTGAACAAGAGGAAATGGAGAATGCAGAAGGAAAGGAGGCAATTAAAGCAGCAGGGGGAATGGGGAGATCACAGAGTCTTGTGCTGGATGGGGCAGACGAGGAATCAGGAGCTTTCTGAGAAACAAAAGTAAAAATACAGAAGCAAATACCCAGGTAAAAGCATCCCTGTGAGCCTGACAACCCACCTCATCTGTGGCCTCAACAACTCCAGCAAATCTTCCCACCCCTCCTACCCCACGTATCATGGAGGGCATTTTAGAGCTGAATAACCATTTTTGCTCTGTATTTCTGTTTTGCCAGTGACTCTGAGCACACAATCCAGCAGGAGCCCCTTGATGAGATGCTGACTGCAGGTGCTAGGCTCCAGTCACCAGATGCTGTCAAATATGATTCCTGAAGACTCACTGTACCCTATTTCCCGTTCTGTAGGAATGCTGCTTTCATGCTTTTATCAAGAAAAAGGTACCATATTCCTGCCTTTGCTTAGGCATTGAGGATACTCAGTGCTCACGTTGTTAGATATAAGAGACCCGAATGGGAACAAATGCCCCAAAGGAGGAAGAGCCTGCCAGGGAGACTATCCTGCCCTTCTGCAGGTCCATAGCTCCAGGACTCAAGCTTTTTTGTATAATGGAGCAGCTTTTATTCTGGCAAAAGGGATACATCAATAAACACCTCTTTGGTGTGATTTCTGGCAGCTGAACTTTGATTTGCAGGGCCTCTGCAACTACCTCGGGGACACAGCTACACACAATGCATGGATTTTTGTTGATAAGAATTGAATGGCTTGGTGTGGACAGAATTAACCCCTTAGTAAATACTGCCCTAATAAAAGCTGCCTTGCATCAGCTGCAACATTGGGCAGAGAAGGTGAGCAGCAGCTTAGCTGTGGACAGCCTGGGACAGGGAGAACAAGGGAAATGACCTGGCCAAGTGATGTGACAAAGCTGGAGATGAGGAGATGGGACAGAAAGTCTGTACAGGGCCTGGGTGAGCACATCCTCCTACATCCATCAGCAGCTTGCTGAACATGGCAGGGGCAGAGAGCTCAACAAATTCCTCATAAACTAAGGATGTGCTGGGACCAAGAATCCCCCTGAGTTTCCCTGTTATTATTTTGAAAAGAAAACAAATGAGAATATTGTTCTCATTAGAAGAGCCCATCTCAGGAAGCTGAAGACCTCTTCAATATCTGCTTGTATTATTAAGGGGAATGAATCATTAGATGCATCTTGAGATGCAATCATAGGTACCAGGATAAATCAATCCCTGGGAAAGAAAAGCATCGGCAGAGGGGCTTATTTGCAATTCCTTCCCAAAGTAATTTTGAAGTCTGCAGGCCTCTGCTGCAGGAGGGCACCTGGGTGCTGTGTCAGGAATCACAACAGGCAGGGCTGGGCAATGCACAGCTGGGGGAAGGCTGTGGGGTCTGCACAGCACCCACAGCCCACCGGGACCCAGCACCAGGGCCAGGAGAGGCGCAGCACCCTCTCTTCCTAACGGTGCTGGAGGAAAAAGCCAGGCATCAGCGCTCAGCAGCGGGGTGTATTAGCATGACAGATGGCTTGCCAAAAAAGAGAAGCTAGCTCGGGTTCTGAGATTTGTGCTGACTGCGCTGCAGAAAGGAACTATTCCAATTAGCATCTGTACAGAGCAATCGAGGACCATTTAGAGCACCAACCCAATTTGCCGCCATTGTGGAGCAGTCATTGTTCCTGATTATTTTTCTCAATTAGCCGTTCAGTCACTGAGCCTGGGGATGCAGCAGAAGCCTCTCGGGTTTGTGCCCGTCCCCACTCCCCCCGAGGACAGTGCAGCAGCACTCCTGCACGCCTGCTCGGCAGCAGCCGGGCTTATTCCTGCCTGATTAAGCAAGTCCATCACGAAGCAAGCGTTGTGATTCATCGATATGGCTATAGGCAACCCAGTGTTTAGCCATACGGCCATGTGCAGCCGTCAGTTTGCATTGCTGTAATGCAAACCCACGCCAGGCTTTGTCCGGGAGGAAATTCCCATCACTATCAGACGTACCTGGGGGAGATGCCTGGGCAGGCACGCTGGAAACCATGGCCCTGGCACTCATCGTGTATCTGTCTCCTTCTGTTTGCCAATTATCACTGAAATGCAAGTGCCTCTCCTGCTTATCGTGTCCAATTAGTGTGGCTGTGCCCCTGGCCAGGTGTAGGGAGCCAGAAACCAGCCTCTGGTTGGAGAAATCCTCGCATTGCTCCCTACCTACTGGAGCTGCCTACAGGCACAAAGGAAAATCGGAAAATATTCTTCCATGACCGTAATATCCCTTCAGGAACAGAAGGTGGCAGACGAGTTTGCTTTGAGTGCCTGGCACAAGAAGCTGTGGTGTTACCCAAAACTTTGCAAGCTTTTGATTTCTCAGTGCACAGCATCACGGCAGTGTGTCTGCACTGAACCCCACAACTAGACAAAATCCCTCGGGTTTAGGGGTGAAATCCCTCGAGTTTGGTCATATCTTTAGAGAGGGGAGCAAGTAGTGAGGCTATAAAAGGTCTGCAGTGAGAAATGAGGCACCTGGGAGGGGGTTTCTGCTCTGGCAGAAGCAGAAACCAGCAGCAGCAGCAGGCTGCCCTGCTGGGAGGGTGGAGGCAATGGCTCAGGTAAGGGTCGTCTTCTCTGGTCTAGCACTGGTGCTTTTTAATTTAGCTTTAAAAAATAAATAAATAAATAGATCACATGTTTTGAAATCTGCCTTTCTCAGGAGCTTCCTCAGGCTTCAGCTGAGGTCTCCTGTGGTGCCCTGTGCTGCTGGAGAACCCTGCTGGGGCTGCTCTTTGAGCCTCCACAGGCGAATTTCTTGCTTGGGAAAAAAAAAAAAAAAAAAAAAAAAAAGGTCAAACTGACCACTGAACTGTGTCTGGTGAGCTCAGCTGCTGTGAGCTCCCTGCTTGTTGGGGCAGGTGGGAGCCTCTTTGCCTTGGATTATCCCAGTGAGCCTAGAAGGAGGTAAGAGGGTTTGCTGGTATGAAGTGAAAGCTGCTTTCTGCTAACTTTATGAAACCTATTCCTATGTTCCTGCCTTCACAAGAAAAGCTCTCCTGATATCAGTGTAACCAGGTTGTGACCAAGGGAACAGAAGAGCTCTGGGAGAAGGTTTTCTGTGAGAGGAGGGGGAAAAAAAATAAGGGCTTATACTCTTGTAAGAAGGGAATAAAATGCTATCTAATGAGGCAGGTTCAGCAAATTCACTCACTACACATGGAGAAAGAGCTCAAAAACATAATCTTATTTGTCTCTTGGTTATAGAGCATATGTGGATAGAAATGAGAGATGTTGCCCCCTGAACAGGAGCAGGGTGGAGGAGGTGGGCTGTAGTAAACCATTATGGCCCTAGTGAGGGATACCTTGATTAAAAACATTAATGAGTTCCTCCACCTCTCAGCCAGAGAATGCTGTAATCAGGTGGTAAACTCCTGTGTGGATGGGCCGTGCTGCAAATTCCTCCATCCATCTTCCACTGCAGCAAGGCTCAGTTACAGCTGGGGCTTTGGGGTTCCACCTAATCCCAAATGAAGGATAAAAGTCCCGATCCTGGTGCAGAGTTGGATCCTCTGAGATCCATGTGGAAGCTTTTGGCTCAAATCCTTATTTCTTCAATTCTTATCATGATCAGATAATGTTACGTAACAAGGCTTCCCTCCCAGGTTTGACTAATTACTAGTAGTTTAAAGCTTTAAAGGTGAAAGCTAACTTCCCAGCCCTGTACCTTCCTAAAACTGGCAGGTTGTGCTCCAAGCAGGACAGCAGTGGGGGTGTATCCTGCTCTCCCCTGCTAATACCCAGCTCACAGGAATACCTTCAGCTGGGACGTGTTTTCAACTGGCAAAATGAACTATATTGCATTAATGTTCTCATAAAGATTCAGAAATGTTACGCAACAAAAAGATTGCCAATTCACACCGCTTATTTAATAGACTTTCTAATGTACACTTTTATATTAAAAAAAAAACCTCTGTGGCAGAGTTTTCTTCTCAAGCTGTCTAGGCTTGCTATCAGGAGCAGCTTCAAAGCAATTTTTCTTTTCATATGCTTGTCTGGTGTGTCTAACTGAGCATGATTACTTTTCCTAAATGAATAGGTAATTTTACCTTATAAGTAGAACACCGGGACTTTTTCTTTGACACTATTGGGCTGAATCTCAGGATGGTTTAGTACAGTGAGTGTTCATTATTTAATGAAACTTGTTTTTTTCTTCCTACCTGAATTTGTTTCTGAGTAATATATTTTTTTTGCCATAGTGCATTCAAACACATCTGAAATATTAATGAGACAAGTAGCATCCCATTTCAATTGAAGTTTGCCATAACAGCCACATAATCCTTAATAGGTCTCTGTTTTACTAAAGATGACAATGGAAATGTCTAATCTTCTCCCCAGTCAAATATTCTAGTTGGGTTTCAGTGTGCCCCAGTCGTTAGCTAAAGGATTTTCTGGCTGAACTCACTACAGCTGCCAGGAACAGGACTCTCGCTGGTCCGTAAGCTCTTGACACAGAACTGATTTTCAGGTGATGCGCTTGCTTTTCGTCAAATTTTCAAGGCCCTCATTAAGCAGGGTGGCTGCTAGAAAAAAAATAAAAAAAATAGACTGACTCATTTTAGATGGTGAAATGCTTTCATGGACGTAATTATTCTTGGTCTAAAGCCTGAGATTTTGCCACCCTGGCTCGGGCAGATCTGTTTTTGGGTTTGTTTTTTTTTTTTTTTCCCCAGGGTTGGCAGGGAGCTGGGGCCTTGTCTGGATGTGCCAAGGGGTGCAGGGGAGGAGGCAGCAACCCACACGTCTTGCTGTGTGTTGCCTGGCCCAGCTGCTGCTGGCTTAACGTTATCAGTATAAGGCCCCTGCGATGAGGTTACCTTTGGAGAATGTGCCTGAGGGGTCAGGATGAGTAAAACCAGAGTACAAAAGCAGCCTGTGGAGCTCAGCATCACCAGTGGGGATGGCTGCTTGATGCAGTGGTCAGCTCAGAAATGAGGGCAAGTGCCTGAAAGGAGGCTGAACACGCTGTGGAGAGCTACATGTAAGTCTGCTGGTTTTACTAGCAAAGGTCCTGCCCCAGCTGCTTGTGTCACAGGCTTTCCAGGAGTCTCAAAACCCTCAAAGCTGCCTTCTAGGAAACACAGCCTCCTTTGTGACCCGGGCAGAAAGTAGGTTTTGCAGACATGAAGAGGCTCAGCAGCTCCAGCGTGGATCTGTGAGAGCTCTGCATCACCTACAAACCCATTTTCCTCAGATCGCTGACTTCTTTCAGGACTGTCGGGCTGTCTTGTGCTTAGGCTTTGTTCAGGCCTTGCTATGAGAGATCTGTGTTTTGGCTGTGCTGCTGTGAACTTGGAGCAAAGCTGCTTGCACTGGGCCAGGCCAGCATTGCCATGGCGAGCCCTTTGCTGCGGCCCTGTCCGTGGGTTTGCTCTGGTGAGGGGTGCCCTGGCCAATGCTCACAGGCTGGGCTAGCCACCAGCACAGCTGGCTAGTAAGTGGGCCTGGGAGCCTTGTTGGGGGAGCTGGGCACCTTTAACTCCCAATTCTGCAGCTGGTTTGCAATGAGAATTTGTGCCACAAGGAGGCATGTTAGTGGGAGATGTCCCAGAGCTGAAGGGTCCCTGAGAGGGCTTGGAAACCTACCCCAGAGGCCAGCTACCATCCTGTTGTCTTCCCAGGAGTACCACTCAGACAGCAGTGAGATGCCATACTTCTTGCTTCTATTTTCTATCTTTTTTTTTTTTTTTTTTTCCCCATTTGTCACTGCTGGCTGATTTTGATGAAAATTCCCACCATGCTGTTTGTGCTGCAGATGCATGGCACGTGCACCACTGCACTTGCAGAATTACCACGGGGCTGAGCTGGCAAGTCTGTAGAGTGCTTGCAAGCTGGCAGTTTGGCTCCAGACCTGTTGTCTCTTAAACTACCACTCAAGAGGATCTGAATGGATTCATGGCAGAGGTGCAAACACTCCACCTCCTTTCTGAAAATACCTTATGCATGGACCTTTGGGGGGGATGTTTCTATGTTGGTTTTTTTGTTGTTGTTGTTGTTTTTTTTTTATACAAAGCCAGTTTTGTGTTTCTGCTGGTGGGCATGGGTGCTATTCTGGTCTCATTTACGCTGCCGTCAACTGGAAGTAACCCCTCTGAAGCCAGCATATCAAATGAAGCTCTTTGCCACGTTTACATATTCTGCTCCTTACAGCATAGTTTGTCCTAGTTCTTAAGCACTGAATGCCTACGTAGGAATTTCATTACAGAGCACAAGTTTTGTCGAGTGCATTCTGCTAGTTTTGCTGGAGGTGGCTGAACGTAGTCTATTTTTTTCTGAATCCCTTGTACTGATAAGTATCACTGTATCACTAGAAAAAAAAAATGCAGCACATAAGAAAATACAGCTTGGTGTCATGTTCCTGGAAAAAAAAAGACAGGTTGTTCTTGTAGGGGAAGGGCTTTCTGTACTTGGAAAACTGTCTCCAGCACCACTTTGGGATGCAAATATGGACAATCTGAGGGTAATTTGGAGGATCTCAGACTTCTTGCCCAGTGGTACAGCAGTCAATGCTGATAATTGATTTCAATCCATCTGCAGATGAACACCTGCTGTGCAATATGGCCCTGCTAGGATTACATCTCCCTGCTTTTAGCTGGAGCAAAATCTTTAATGTTGACCACGAGGCTGGGAGTGTATTTGCTAAAATCTGAACCACGTCCCAGAGCCATGTTAGCAGTGCAGTTGCAGCATTTTAAATGCATTGCCTTGACACTTCTCATTAAAATCCACAGAACGCAGTTTCTTTCTAAGCAAAATTAATTCCATTACTAAATAATGTTTTTGGCCTCCAACCTGACTTGTGCTAATTACTCACGTGGTGAGTGAGTGTTAAATCTTGTTTGGAAAGACGATAGAGTTTGTCTTATTAAAAGCACCTAATGTGAGCTTTTCTTTTCTTCTTTTTTTTTTAAGACTGCAATTGGTCTCCAGTGAAACCAAACAGATAATGCAATAATTTTTCACTAAACTAATTATCAGAGCGGAAGAGGCTAATATGTTTTGCCAACTGTGTCTCACGGCTCCTCGGTTAACGTGCAGCACGGTCACGGCTGTTCAGCAAGGCTTTGCATCTCCAAAGGCAGCAAGCTGAGGCTGTTTGAAGCTCACCCCTTGCTCACTCTGCTCTGCAGCCGTGCTGAAGTGCTCAGGCTGTATTGCCTCTGCCTGCACTCTGTTAATCAAATGTTGGCCTTCCACAGAGGACTTGCAGCATTTTCAGGCATTGATTTACCTCAGTTCCTAAGAGCATCTCACTTCTGAGCTTCCTGCTTGCAAAGGTCCCAAGTATCCAACATTTGAAATTCATGCTGCTTCAGCTGTGTTGGATGCTTAGGTACACAAAGTCAGTAGCTACTTCTGCAAATAGTCACAAAACATTTCTTCAAGCTTAGAAATGGATCTCAGTGTACAAATGTGTTATTCTGACCATTTGGGTCTGACATGGTACAAAGACCAGTCTCTCACTTCTATTAACTGCAGTATACAATAAGGGTGGGCTTTAAGAAGTGACTAAATGAATAAAGAGTCTGCAGAAATCCTGCCCTTAAAAGTGCCCTAGGTGTTAAGAAAAATACCCTCTTCTTGGAAGAGGAAAATATTAAGACTGAAAGAAGGAAAGTAATGTTTTTACCTCAAGCATCTACAGTGTGTGCTTTTCTAGCTCTCTTTATAGCAGGCAACATTTGAAAACAGAATTACAGCTTTGGTAAGGACTGGGATTTGCCTGTCTGATTACCATTACTCCCCAAAACAAATAAACAAAACACAATTATCTTTGAATGTTACTCAGGCTAATGTGTAGAACTGGCACTGGGGAGTAGAGGACAGAGGGCTAAAATCATTAATTGGTAATGGAGTTTGTGTATTTGTCATCAAGATGCTTCGCTTGGAGAGCTGAACGAAAAGAAAGCAAGCTGCAGAAAAACAAACTCCTAGTAAGCCTTGTCACTTGTACTTATTTAACAGCCTGTCACGAGCAGAAAATGTGGATCAAAGGTAGTAAATGCAAGGAAGGAGCAGTTTCAGTCCAAGGCATCTGCTCTGCCTTGCATCAGGGTTCACTTCTGGATCAGGGTATGTTCTGCCACATCGTGTTACATCAGGGGAGCTGTGAAATGACGAAGCCTAATGCAGGATGAGTGTTGGGAACGGGAAGTAAAACAACAACCCGTTGTTGTCTTATTCATTAGTCGCTGTGGGTTTGGGGGCTACCAAGGAACAGAGCTGTTTTGAGTGAGGTGTAACGTTGCTGAGCTGTGCTTGGCAAGAGCACTGAAAACTGCTTATGGGATTTGATGCCCTCTGCCTCCAGAATAAAAAAAACACTGTGGTAGGGAGGTTGGGTTTCACTTTTTTTCCAAATCACTAAAAAAAAAAAAAAAATGTTAAAAAAAATAAATCTAAACTAAATCTTTCTACCTTTATTTCCCCTTAGCATAAACAGGTAGGGAGAAGCTCATGGACTGTGGTGATGGAGGTGGTGCTGCTGCTCCTCCTGGGGCCACAGCTGGAGCAGTGCATGTGTCCCCTCCGGCTGCCTGAGCAGAGGTGACTGCTGGCCCCAAAGGATCTGCAGCCCTCAGATGTGCTTTCTGCCAAGCAAGCTGAAAATTATTCTTAAATAGAGAATAAATGTGAAAAGATGATGGGGGAAAGAGATGGAGGTTCCAAGGGGGAGAAAATGCTGGTTAAAAAATGAATATTCATCTATCGAAGAACAAACTGAATGTGAAATTCAACTAATGCTCATGTCTCTGCATCAGAAAATCTGGGGTAGGAGGAAGAGCAAATAAAATTATTGGAGTTTTTCAGATGCTTTAATGGCAAATTCCTTCCCTCCAGCCAACCCCATTGCTAAGATCACCACTAATCAATTAGAAATTGCCACAGGTAACAGAACCAATTATATCTTTTATTGTAGTGTCAAACACTTCATATGTACAGTACAGCTTTTGAGTATTGTTCTTTGTTCTGCATTCACTGAAGATGAGTGCACAGGTCCAGCAGCAACAAGCGGACTCTGGATTCCTGCTCCCAGTCACAGCTCCAATGGAAGCACCGAAGCTGGGGTTATTAATCCCATTCTCTAGCACAAAACACACATCCTGGTTGTTCTCATGTGCCAGAGTTGTGGCCTCCAGGATTAACTGGTGTTGATAAAATTACTTAGCAACTTGCTCTGCAGCCCCACATCTGCTGGCACCTGGCCCTGGGGATGTGCAGACTTTCCTTGGCCAAAAAGACCAAGCCCATGGCAGAGTGAGAGGTGAACAGGGATGGACTTGGGCCATGTTTTATGCTTGAATCCTGTTTACCCAGTAAACTTGGGCTGGATGCTCTGACATCTAAATGCTGGCTAACTGGAGTCAACCTCTTTGGTTTCAGGAGTGTTTTTTGCATTTCCATTAAGCTGATGGCTTTGAATGGGAGTTGCAGCACTATAATCCACACAGTGGTGAAGCCCCTGAAGGCTCAAGCTGGGGATAATCACATCGTTTTTATACTGCTGATAATTAACCATTAGAACAATTTACTAATGGATGTAGTGGATTCTTTAAATGATAAATTGATATGTTTTAGCACAGCTATGAGATACAGGGTTGATGCAAACATTTCTGAGTGCAAAGCCAGCCTGCGTTACAGGCTGTTGAGGTCAGAATCTATTAGCAATAATTCCTCTTGGCCTAAATTCTTCGTCTATGTAATAAGGTTTTCCTACAGAAATTATTCTAAGAACTTCAAAACCAGAGCTGCGTGTGCCCTACCATATGGCAGTGTGTGGCCTCATTCACTAAGTGGAGGAGAGAGGTGCTTGTATAAACTCCAGCCAAATATGTAGTAATATTACGCAAATATATTAAATTCATTGGATCTCTTGATTTAAGTGGATGAACTCTGTGTGCATGTAGATGAAACTGTACTTGCTGGTAGGAAGTGAATCGGCCTAATCAGAGTAGTGGCTGTTGAACGGCTGCACCGTCTCCTAATTGAATAGGGAAAATAGTTTTTACCTGATTCTTTAGTTTTAATATAACTTCAGTATTTACATAACACAGCTGTCACAGAAAGTTTAATTAGATATCAGAGATCTCCCAGATCTTGTCAAATTAATTTCTGAACTCTTGGCATTTCTGCAACAACGCTGTCCTAATTCTTCTTGTAGCATTTTCTTAGAAGACTCTAATAACTAAGTCATGTCTGTTTGACAAAATAAAGATAAGCTGTTATTTCCCTCTAAGAGATGACAGTTCCATTTTTCAAAGGAGAAGGAAAGGTTGCTCACCGCTTTACTTCCTGCAGCAGCAAAATTTTCAGGCGTGGGACTGGCAAAACAAAGAGTTACTTGCAGTAAGTAAAGGGTTTTTTTTTTTTCTTTGCATCTAGCCATTGTGCTTGGTTGGAAAGGTCAGGTGTGTCAGAGATGGTTAAGGCTTTGAAGAAGACAGATGTGTGTATGCAGGAAAAACATAAAGGGGACTGGAATAGCTTAAAGGAATGAGCAGAATTGGAAAGATCTGGGCTTTAAATTTTATTCTGGTATTGAAGTCATTGTTAGTGCTCTCCCCCACTGAGGAAAAAATGCCTTGGGGGTGGGGAAGCAGGAAAATGGAATATTAAATGTAGTTTTCTGGCTATCTCAACTCCTACAATTACAACACTGCAATTTACTCCAAGCTTTTAGCAACTGAATAAAATCTACTTCACCTTTCTTTCCTCCCATGGAGCTCTTCCTTCTCCAGTCCTGGCTTGGCACTGTGGGATGAGCACTGGCCATACTACTGAAGTACGAAAAGCTGGTGTGTGCAGCCTGCGAGCCCCCTGCAAGCCTTGAAGGTAGGAGAATGGGTGTGTGAGAGTGTTTGCAGCCAGATCTGGCTGTTACTGTGAGCAGGGCAGAGTTCTGTACAATAATTGAGGTGGTTATACGCAAACTTTTAGTAACCAAAACTTCCTGTCCTTCGCCTCCAGCCCATCAGAAGCCAGAGAGAGCCCCTGTGGTCCCCACAACATCCCCTATAGCATCCTGAGTGGCTCTGGGATGCTTGTGCAGGGTGGCACAGAGCTTGTACATCCCCAGCCCTCTGTCCGCAGGGCTTTCAGCAGCCCTTAGAGCAGCACCTTGGGAGGATGGCACTGTGCTGCTTGCTTGCCTGTTACCAAAACACGAGGGCTCTATGGTTTTTACTCCATTTAATACCCTCTGTTACAGTGGGGCTGGGAGGGCTGCCAGAAGCCCAGCACTGCCTCGTGCTCTCCAATTCCCACAGCACTGCATGGGAAACCCACGTGCCCTCTCCTGCATCTACCGGGCTGCAGATGTGCAAAGAACCATAAATAAAGCTGTATGGTTTGTCTCAGCAACAAGAAAATCCCTGGCACATAATCAGTTTATTGCAAATTGGAATGGCTTCTGGCACTTTCTTTTGCAGGGCTGTGGTCCGGGGTGTCTGTGGGTGTCTCATCAGCCAATACTCATTAAATAACCCTTTCCGCCCATGCTGCCCCATTTGGTTCGTCTGCCTCTACAATGTTGCATGTGGGACTGATTTTGGAGATTGAAAAGCTTCTGCATCTTCTCATTACCCCTGCAATGTCCCCTCTGAGAGGGGATTTGAATTTCTGATCATTTGCATGTAATCTTTGGCATGCAATGTTCACCATTCCTATTTATTTTCCATTTTTAACACTTGTAAGACGGGAACACACCTTTTTACAGAAACATTACTGGCATCACAGTTACGGGTAAAAAGTCGACATCTGCCAGCCTGTTCAGTCAAGATGCTGTGGGTTTTTTCCTTGCTACCTAGAAACCATTGTATTAACGTTGGTCTTGTTGGAATGCTTTCTTGTGAAAGATGTTTTTTTTTTTTTTTTTTTAATAAATCCAGTAAAAAAGGCAAAAACATTTGATATAATCAGTCACCCAAATAATGCAAAAAAAGGGAATGTAGGGCAGAAGCAGAGGTTTGTATTTAGGGTTCCTAGTTCCCTCTAAGAACAGGTTTAAATTTCAAGCAAAGCAGGCCCTTTCTGCCAAAGGGAAAAAAAAATCTTGTTGAAAGTGTTGTTCTTCTTTCAAGAAAAATATACGATTTAACATGACAGTTTTAATGAGCCTAATTGTGAAGTCTGACAGTAGATGTTGACCTTGTAATGGGTCTCTGCTATGAAAAAGAGGTTATTTACTTTTCCAACCAGAAAAGCTATTGTTATTTTCTCATTCTATTAGGTAAATTATAGTAGCATTGGTCACACGGCACCATGGTTGTGTGGAGCTCAGTGGAAAGCTAATTCCTTTTGTTTTTTTTTAGGTTTGGTGGATTGTTATTTCATGTTGTTTTGTTGTTGCTGCTTTAAAAAAAAAAAAAAAGCCTCATTCTTGAACAGCGTTCTCATAGACAGATATTAAAAATAAATAAATAAATATAATGCGATTAACCTAAAAGAGTATCTAGAGATTTATCTATTGAATTTCCTAGGCACATATTTACTGGATACATCACAAAATAAATAGCACATTACTTATTTTGTTAATCAAATTGAATAATTGAATCTCATCTGAGAGGAAATTTTTTCTATTAGCAGAGCTGAAGGTACACTGAAAACCCGTAGGTGTATTCCAGCCCTTCCTTGCACAGATCGCTCAGAAAACAGCGTCTCTTTAATAGCAGTGCCAGTAACCATCTAATAATCTGAATTAGGAAGGCTCTAGCAATTGGCAAGTGTTCCCTTTTTTTTTTCCCCACGTTAAATATTTTGTCAAGGCTTTTCACAACTCAGGCTGCTGCAATTTGTCATCTTTCTCCACAAGCAGTTTTACCTTCCAGCCGCAGAGACTCGTGCTCCCTTGGGCAAAGCCTCCTGCTTCCTGAGCGCTCTGCGCAAGCCCTCGAGGGCAGCGCTGGCCCGGTACAGCACCCATGGGTGCTGAGAGCTTTTGCAGGTTCTGCCTGGTGTTGTCCTCCTGCCTTTGCTGCTCAGGGGCAGGAAGCGTGTGATTTTGTTTGTTCCACTGTGGGGACTGGTATCTGCTGTCCCCAGCTCCTTTGATGTCCCCTAGTCAGCATTTCCCAAACTGATGGCATCAGCTTAGAGTAGCCAAAATGTTCTGTATTTACAGTTTATTACCGAATGTCTATTATAGAGCTCTTTGTCCAAAAAATCCCACAATCCTGTCACTACGGGATATGGCAGTGTTTGAGGTGTGAAGAGACCTAAAATCAATAGATACACCATTTGCCATTTACTTAACCCAAATAAAATACTTCATTGAGACACCAGCGTAGCTAAAAATTCACAGCACGAATTACAATCCTGCTGAAATGCGTGTGGCAAGGTTTTATGGCATTCTGCTGGCCGTATTTATAGCTCATTGAAAACACGATGTCAGTGCATTGTTGTTACTATTGCTTTTCCTCTCCTCATTGCTGCTATCGCACAGTAGTCAGCAGAGAAGGATTTCTCTGTCCATGTACATGGACATGATCGCTAAACAGGGAAGAGGTGCGTGTTCCACATCTCTGGGGCTCCATAAACTCGTGCCAGGCTCCTCCTCCTAGTTTTTGGGCTTTGCTATTTCCTACTAAGGCACCATGAAGTAGAGCCTTAAACACTAGGAGGCAGCAAATCAACTATCTGAAGCATCTTTTACTCATGGCCAGATTATATATATAAAGGCAGATGCATTCTAACAAATAGTCTATTAATAAGCTCAGAGTTAATGTCGCTGTTTACAGGTGGCATTGTGCTCCAGCTGGCTCTGGAGTGGAGCAGGGCAACTTCTTTGTAGCAGGCAGCAGAACTTTTTAGGACGCCTTCTCTACTTGAGGTTGGAGGGAGCTTCTCTAGCTCAATTTTTTCCTATCAGCATATGTGAATTTTGGTGCTGTTCAGCTGTTTCAAACCATTCAGGTTTCCTCCATGTTGAGGCAACATGAAGGTTTGTGGACAACCCTCACCTCTGATGCTTCAGATGTGACTTCTGGAGGCTCCCCAGGAGAGCAAAGTGTCATCCAGTTTCAGCTAATATTGAGATTAGCTGGAATAGTCAGGATTTAGAATGAAAGCAGAAGTGCTGGAAGAGGCTGTGCCTTCAGCACATCTCAAAGAGCTGATGATTAGGAGTGGTTTTCAAGTTCTGCTTTTCTCGTCCAGACAATGGCAAAGCTTCCCCTGGGTTCCCCGTGCCTCACCTGCCATCTCCCTCTCTCAGGCTGGTGTCTCTATCAAAGCACCGATTACATCAAGTGCTGAAAACAGAAATGCAATGAGGGATCCTTGACAGAGCAGCTTAAAGCCTCTCGATTTAGATAATCTCAGGCCAGTGGAGTTAGGAGTCTCTCAGTACAGCTTTATCTGGTTCAATATCATTTCCTGGGCAGAGATTCAGATGGCTAAAGAACTCTTTGGACACATGTGTTTGGCATGTCTGATCAGGACCATTTTTTGGTAACTTGTGCACAGCTGCAGAGGCTGCAGTTCTAGCTCTGGCAGCAAGTTGATCTTAAATGATTTCCTGGTCCCTTTTGTAGAAATAAAAGGGTCAGAGCAAAGGGAAGATCAGATAAACCTTGTACTTTTGGAGGCTTGTTTGATCACTAACCTCTCAGAAATAATGGCTAGCTTTAATTCCACATTCCAATTTCCTTTCTTAGTAGATAGAGCTTATAAAACGTTTCCAAGTGAGCAACTGGGGTGTGCTCCCAAAAGACCATTTCTCTTGTGAATAATCGGCTGAAATCCTAATAAGAAAATCCTTCCACTGGGCAACAGAATTTCAACTTGAATGCTGTATTATCAGCTCAAAATTATTTAGACAGATCTCAGGAATTTACTTCAGGCAGTTCAGCGGACAAATTCAATGTAGAACGCTATGATTGATTTAAGTATTTAAGACTTATCCTAAAAACCTGTTTCACTTAATCCGCCTCCTAACCCGTTTCCATTGGAGACCTCCTTTTCAGGTTAAAATGCAATCTAAGTGCAGCAGGCAATTTCCCTTTCAGTGGTCAGGAGGGATTCTCCTCCATCCTCTGGGCGTGCGGGTGATGCATTGTTTTGGAGATGCCGAGCTCCCCGACAGATTGCCTCATTTTACACTTGATGGGACTTGAGCGAGCATCGCTGTGCCCGTCAGCCTGCGGTGGTGCGCTCTGCCACAGCACCTTCCCCCGTAGCGCTGCGAGAATTTGTTGGAAAGAGGATTTTTTAATTATTATTTTATATATATTTATATAAAAGAATATTTAAGAGCCTAATGGTTCTTTGTTTGTGGAATGATTAGGGACTGGTGCTTGGGAGTGCCGGCAGTGAGCAGCAGGATGTGTACGCACAGGCTTCGAGACCTCAGAAGTGCAATCAATCACAGTGCCATCTGACTTCCTATTTCATCTTTTAGTCTGTCTGAAGTCACGTACGTTTGTGTGGAGTAACAGTGTGTGGTTTTGTGTAATATAAATAGCCTGTTGCTGGGGTATGTGCAGGTATATAATTATTCCTTAGAACTGACTGATAACGGGTGGAATGAGAAAACCTCACGGGCTTTTTTTTTTCCTTCCCACACTGTACCATACTCCCCATTCTGTTCCCAAGGAGAAATGACTGCTCACTGGTGTTTTGCTCTGGACACTGCCCCGAGGATGAGCGCAGTTCATCCCGACAGTACCTTGCCTGGATAAACCCTCAGTCAACACATGCATTTCTCCATCATCAAAAAGGCAGTGAGTTTTTTTCACTGCCCTTCAAGCAGACCTGTTGTGCTAGAAATTTCCAGTAGCATCTCATTGGCATGCTGTCTCTAAGTCCTTTGGAGCATACTGCAAAATGAAGGCTCAAGCCCTATCGTTCTTCCTCCTGCTCCCCTTGTAACTCTTTTCTAAACATCCTCTGAGTAACCCCCCACTCATAGTTTTAACTCACGCTCCAGGCAATCTGTAATGCAGCATTTAACACCACAATGAATTTTCCAGCCATTGAGATATGGACAAGAGGTAGGACTTGAGAGGTGAAATCGCGTGACAGGTAACGGGCACGGTGAACTTTAGATCTGAGAGATGTGTGCAATATTAGTTCATTCTGTAGCTGAATGTGAGCACTATTGATATTTAATCTTAGCAGGAGGGATGAGTATTTGAAGGACAAGCATTCATAAATTGCTTTGACATTTGACATGATCAAGCAAGTAAAAGACTAATATTCCATTTCTCCATTGTCAAAAAGATAATGAGTTTCATAACTATTGGTATTATGGGAAAAATACAGCCTATGCAGTGTAAAATGAGTGAGAGCTTCTATATATTTTTATATAAATTGTGTATGTTGTGTTCTTCTGATGGCCCCATTCAGACACAGCATGCTTATCCTTTTTAATTTTCTGGTTTGCTGTGCAAGTCTCTAGCAAAAGAGACTTTTCATTTTTTGAAATGAAAAAATGTTTTCTTCAAATTATTTATAGAAAGAGCAGTGCTGTCATCGAGTCTGTCTCATCATATCATTCTTGGATATCAATTTCTAGGCTCGGATGACAAACCATGGCAGCTACTTTTCCAATAGCAGCATCTGGCTTCCTGGCAAACTCAAAATGCAGTTATCTGGAAAGCCTCAGAGTTGCTTCTGAGCACATTTTATTTATTAGAAAGCAGTTGTGTTGCTTCGCTTCCCATGACTAAGCCAAAGAATATTTAATATATTAAAAGGAATAATAGGATCACAGCCAAGCTGTTGCCCCTCAAGTGGCCAGGGAGTGACAATATTTTTCCTTTAAGACGTTCCTTCACTTCTGGAAGACAACCTGAAACTACTGGTGCTGATTTCAGATGATCTTTTATAGGACTAAAGAAGAAAGTCAGCCTTAACTCCACAAACAAAATTCAAATTCACCTTTTTCTAGGGTCATCTCCATGAAATGTGACGGTGACTTCTGTCAGCCTTTCTGTGCTGGAAGAAGCAGACCCTCCAAAAAGAGCAGGGTCCCCAGACAAAAGACACTACATCCTTGCAGTATGTAATGAACAGTAATACAAGGAAAAGCTGGGTCAGTGGGTCAGGTACTGTACCAAGCCTCAGAAGTTGAATTCAGCCTTTGTTTTGTCACAGACTGTCTCTATGAACTTTGCAGAGCGGGATCCAAATGACTCGCCAAGGTGACACAAATGTAATTCAGTAGGTATCACATTAACCTGCAACATCTGAAGCAAAATATATGAAAATATAGCTCCATAAACAGCTTTAATATTTCTCCTTCTTAAATACACCTCAGACATAAATGATACCTTCTGCCACATCCCACAGTCCTGGAAGGTTCTTTGCTGGGGCTGGAGATCTTCGCTAACATTGTGTGTTGAAAATCCCACCACCATCCTGTGTATAAAA